AGAGATTGACCTGAACCTGGCCCTCATTTGCCCCTTCTTTGTTATTCCGACCAGATTTCCATTGAACAGCTCTTGCGGCCTCGTTAATGCTCCGATTCTGCCATGGCAGGATTGTGGACCTGGTCATTGGGAACACTAGGATCTGGTTGGCCAAGGTACTCAACGGCACCCTGCTCTTCCGCACAGTCAGTCTTGACACAGCGCCTTCCAATGAGCTGTGCGGCATTTTGCCAAGGGATGTTCGGACTTTAACTTCTTGCCCACCAACGAGGGGTTTCCGTATTAAACCTCGAAAAGTTAAGCTTTTGGCAGGGGAGCAGATTTCGCAACCGAGTTCTGAAGCTCCCTCTGCCAGGCGCAATGTCTCGCTGAGAGCCTCAAGCTCTCCTCCTCTTCATTGCAGATCCTGGACCTCAGCGGGAACTGCTTCACGGCGGAACTGCCGCAGTTATAATGAAAACCCCGGATGAATAAACCCCTGGTTGATTTTGATTGGGGGGTATCCACCCCCCAACTTGGTGGGGATTCAGACCACTTTTGGAGGCCCTAATAATCGGACGGGTTTATAAATCCTGGGTCAACATTACCCACTTGGTGGTTCCCAGCCGTCCGGTTCCTTGGCTTTAGTTGGTTTAGTGGTTGGGTGTCCATGCAACTCGCTTCAACGTTTTGCAGGGGATCTGAAAGCGGACAGCCCAGGGCGTCGTGATTCCAACTCTGAAATCAATTTTGTTGATGGCTTCCCCACCAAAAAGATCGCCAGCCCCGAAAAGGATTCCCTTTTTCTAGCAGGGTCACTGAACAACTGGGGAACCCTTCTCTCCAATGCCATGGATACTTAGACTTTTAAGAGTTTGTTACTAGCCAAGAGCAATTTGTTAAAAGAAGGTTACAACACAGACCCTTTGAGAAGCGCAAGCAGGGCGAAAATAGAGGGCCCAATTCCAGGTAGATGCAGTTAAGGGGCTGACTATCCAAAATGGGGCAATTCTGCTGTTTGCTTTCACCCAACTCTGCCGGCTCGGCCGGGTTTCTAGATGTCCACTTTGGGTGCTTGAAATCGTTTTTGGGCCAATGGAAGGTGGCGCTCTCTTTGATGTTTAGGCTCATATCTCGGAAACCCGCCGGAGAACACTTGGGGGCAATGTTGCAACCGCCTTTCTTGAGGGTGGTTCTTGTTTAAACTTCTCGGGGCTGCAACCATTTTCCACGTGTCCAATCAAATCAACATTGAACCCCAAGAGGTTTGGGAAAAATCGGTTCCTGAAAGGGCGATTCTGCGCAAGCCCAGGCTTGTTGGCTGGGTTCCATGTTGATCCGGATGTGTCTTAGCCAGGCCGTTGGCGCAAAGCATCTCGCCAGCACCTTCTTTCAGAGCCTGCGGCTTAGAAAGAACGGTTGCTCATCAAAAGGACTGCTGCTGAAGTGTTTTGTCGTTTCGCATACAAAAGGCTCAGAAAAACCGAGAGGAGGAGGGGAGTCATGAAAGCAAAAGCAGACGTCAAGGCTGCAACACCCCCAGCACCACTACCACCACCCTGGGAAACCAAATAAGACCCCATGAAGGCCTGGTTAAGTGGGCCGATTTGGAAGAAACCACGGGGGAGGGTGGAATTTATGAATACCTGGTCGTCATTCGTGGCTGTAGGTAGTGGTGGAGAGCATGCAACGGCCTCAGCTTGCCAAGCAAATCCGAGAACATTGGCCCCAAGCAGAACCTTTGAAAGCTGCAACCACTGTATGGTGATACATGTCACCGTGTTGGTCTTGGTTACGAGCCCAGAAGGCGATGGGCGTTCATTCCTCTTTGCACAAGTAGTGACACACGTGCTTGAGCTGTGGCTTATACAAACCAATCTTCTTTAAACGCACTTGGGGGTTTATGTTTTGAAGGGTACCCCTTGTTGGTGGCTTTAAAGGGAAGCCACAAGGAAAACCGTCATTTTCGGGGGGGGGGTCCCTTAAAAAACGAACCACCCGTTAAAACAAAATATGCCCAACTCTGGGTGGAACTGCCGAACCCAGGCCCCACGACTTTTGGACCTATCCGGAAACCCGCTGGACGACCATGGGGTGGCAGGCGGGTTGGCAAAGTGCAATTTGTCGCATGCTAGGCTTCTCGCCGTAGGGAAACCAATGGGAAGATCTGGAATCAAGTGTTGTTCAAACTGGTTTTAGTAAAGGATCCAAAAAGCGCCTGCAGTTCTCGCGGCCTGCGCATTTGTTGGCGGATGCTTATGGGTATACATCCCCCAAACGTCCGGATCCCCTCCAAAGTGGAGCACCCGCCTCATCAGCCACGGGGTATAGTCATCCTGGGTGAACGCAGCTGCTTTTCCTTTGGATGCCTGTGGAGCCCCGCATGCTCGCACGAGACGACAAGTGGAGAGCTTGTTGGACCGCTTTGGGCCTCAATAAAGGGTTGCAGTACCTTGGAATCAAGTTCAGGCATGATTTTAGGGGTACACGACAGCAGGCTTCTTGGAGGGAGACTGCCTTTCAGTGTTTTCGAAGCAAAGCCAGAAGAGCACCCTAGAGAAACCCGGGTTATGATTTCTCTCCGCGCACCATGTCTACCATGAGTTCGACAGGAGACACATACCAACATACCCCCGACTGGTAGGGCGCGCCCTTTGGTACAATGGATCCCTTCGAAACATCGGAATTCCTGCAGATTACCACATGCCCCGCATGCGTTCAGGCGTCGCGCGGTGCGCTGCGGCAGGAGGGGGAGGAATTGGCAGAGGCAACCTATGTCACTCCTCAAAATGACCCGCGCAAAATGGTGGGTCATACCCAAGGAAGCTGAAAGCCTGCCAGTTTTGTGTGCTCCGCCTTGTAGAGTTGGTGTTGTGGAGAACGGGACACGTGCTGCACATCACTTCTCGCACTACATTCCTTTGGACGAGCGCTAGGAGCCGGTGCTGAGGGAGCCTTAGCAATCTGCCTGGCTCGCATGGCCATTTTGGGTTTGCCCCAAGGTAGACTCAAACCAGGCGCGGTTGACTTCGAAAAGGAGAACCTCTGTTAAGTTGACGTCTGCCTTGGGGCAAATCGGAAAACGGAACCTCAACTGCAGCACCCCAGCGAAAACCCTTGCCTGAGGCCCGCACACTGCTCCGTTTGGAAGACGTCTCCTGCACTAGCAAGTTGCTCAGAGCACCGAGGGTAGGCATCTTCAGCGTGCCTGCCTTTCGCAGAATGGCTGTGGGGCACAGAAGCTTCAGGGGCCAATTTATGATACCAATGTAAACCCCTTCAAAGTCATGAAATAGTCGTGGGGGTTGCCCTTTATGGTACACAGAAAGTGTCATGTTCCATGGTTGGCAAACCTGGAACTTTTGCTCGGAGCTGTTTCTTCAATCGTTTTGGCGGCCCGAAAACGGTTGTTTTGGAGAATCACCTGGGTTCAACTTCAAGCTTCTGGCCAAATGACTTGCTCGGGATTCCGTTCCGGTTCATTCCTAACACCCTTTTAAGGTCCTTCCCCGCCTATCGCACGAGCAATGGATCTTACCTTGGGGGGCCTTTGCTAATTGTGGACCACAGGAAAACCAGTTAGAAACCACTCTTTGGGTGTGTTGGGCAAAAGTTCTGACCCTTTCCGCACCATGTTCCGTGTCCGTTGTGCCTGGCTTTTGCTGTGCTAGATCCCATGATCTCCAAAGTTCACCAAGGCTTTTAGTTGGTTTAATGGGGTTTCCGTTTAACCCACCAAAAGTTGGACTGTTAGCGGGGGATCCGGACAGCCCAGTTAAATGAATTTTGTTTTGCTGGCTTCAGTTCGAGGTGGCGTTGCTTTTCCGAGGATGCTATAGTTTGGGCATCTCCGGTACCCCGGAGTTGTTCGTTTTGTTGCGGTTTCGGGGCGGCTTTCCTTGTTGCCTCCTGTTCCTTTCCCTTTTCCGGATAAAGTAGAAATCCTGAGCCTGCTGCATACTCCTGTTCGAGCCGTTTCCAAGTTGCCCTGCAAACCGACCCAAAACAAATTTAAACAACAGTACCAAGCCTCAACGAATACCTTGCAGTTTCACTCTGGAAAAATAATCGCCCCCACACCAATCTGGCCGTTTGGCTCATCTGCGGTCAACATCAGTATTGCCGGATATTCGTCAAGAAAAGTACCAGTAGTCTATTGTTTGTATTTTTTGCGGGGGGCAATAAGAAGGTGCTCACGATTTTTTCCCACGCAAAAAAAAAGCTGGGACTCCCGAATTTGTCCATGCCCTTTAGGGGAAATGCTTCACAGAAATCCCCCCCCACCCCACGCATCAACCCATCTTAGGGTTCCTTGCTGTGGATGGACGAAATCCTGCATCACCTAAGAAACCCTGGTGTGGTGTTTGTTTTGATTCCCCGAGGTAAATCCCAACAATGGGTTCAGCCATGGTTTCATTTCGTGGTGCGAGTGGCATGGAATCAGCCTTAGGGGCCCCCTTGAAACCCCCCCCTCCAAACAGGACCACTAAATCAGACTTTGTTGGCTTTGAATTGAAAACCATGAGGGGGGTGTTTGAAGAGAACCGAAAACGCATGTTTGACCATCCTTGTTTTAACCCCCCCGCAAAAAAGTGGCTCTCAACCTATGGAATCCCCAAGAGGGCTAGGTACAAGGAGAATGGGTAGTTGAGAGTCCCCAAACTTCAATAGAATTCCTTGAGTTTTGCTTATGGTTGTTAGGGAACACCCCACCTCCTTGGACCACTTCCCTTTTTTTATTGGAAAGTCCATGGAGGGGAGTGGGATGTGCTGAAAACCCATGGTTTCTCACCATCCTCCCATCTCAAGATGGCTCATCAACCCCGAAGAGTAGGTAATTACAAGGGGGCGGGTGGAGGCTTTTTCAGGGAGTCTCATGGGGAAACACCCCTTACCCCGATGGCAAGTTGAGGTTGTTTAGGGAGTCTTATAGGGAAACCTTGGACCCAGGCCGCTTGGATCCTTTGGGACGGCGAATCGAGGTCAGGGCCTACCCGAGCTCCTGCGCTGCGCCTTCGCCGGGCTGGACCTCTCGCGCAACAAGCTGGGCCTCGCAACTCGGCCCCAAGGAAGGCCCTCAAGGGCCTGGAAAAGGCGGGCGGGGGGCGTTCGTTCAACGTGAGGTCCCTGAAACCCGGGGGTTTTGTTTCCAGTTTCCTCACTCCCTGAGTTAAGCTTTCGACTTTTTGGGGAGTTGGTTGATGTTGGGCCGGCTATTTGTATGGTAAAGCAAAAGTTGGGGCTTGTTCTTGACCCATCCACTGGTTCGGAAGTGAGTTTTCGGGGGAAGGGTCTTGCTGACTTGGTGATTCCCAGCCGTCCGGTTCCTTAGGTTGCTAGTCGTTCTCGCTTGGTTTAGTGGGGTTCCATTTCACCCACTAAAAGTTAAACTTTTAGCAGGGGATTTGGGGCAGAAAGAAGGTGTCCATGGGACTAAATGTGACACAGAGTTGCACGTTTTTTGTTGTACCGCGGATGTGGGCCAAGTTTTGGTCGCCCAGTAGCTATCCTTGATGCGTCTTATGGGGTCTTCTGAATTGAACCCGTTGAATCGCCCGCAGGTTCGAGGGCATAGCAAGGGGCAGCTAGTCGGTTCAGAGCCATGACCCTCCCATGGTTCCCGTTTTGGCCCCGGTTTATGAGTGATACGTAGTTGCCTAGAATGGCTACAAAGGATTCCCAACTCCACAAGGAGGGTTTGTGATACCTGGTCAAGGGATTGAAAGGGTCTGGGAGGAAGGGTGTGGTCGAAAGCCCTTTTCGGAAAAGGGTCGGGAAGGAATCGCAAGTGCGAAACGGCGAAACAATTGTAGGTGCGACTGGTGGTTAGTTAAATCATTGAACTGTTGCACCCGTAAAGACAGTTTTTGTGATGTTCCTGTGGTTGTGCCAACCTGACCAAAGGTAGGGATGCTCTCCGCAGACTCAAATTTGCCGCACACCCGAGACCAAACTGGAGGGACCCGGCCACTGTCGAAACTCGGACTCAGGCAGGTGGCATGTCCACTTTAGCAGCTCAGAAGAGGACATGTGCCTGGCCATGCCGAAAATTGCGGGGGAGGAGGGCTTTGTGGATGGTGCTTTAAGAGTCCCAAAAGGAGAGCGAGTGTAGTATCATCATCTCTTTTGTGCACTCGCAGGAAAGGGTGGCGATCACTTCGAATCTCGGACATCGGGGAGAGCGAAGGCATGGTTCATTGGTCGTGTGGAAATTCCCTCATTTTTTACGCGGCCGACGCGCAGGTAATCCCAGGAAGCCTTTGATGCTTGCGCCACTGGCAACCCGGCGGCACTCATTGGAGCCAGCACCTTTAGGCTACCGCAGGAAGCTGCGAGTGCAATCCTTTTTAGGTTGCCCCCTCTGTTTCTTCTCATGGCCTCAAAAGCTTAACCTTATCCTTGTGACAACGGGTCCTTTCATCAAGTGAGTTGGTGGGAACATTACAAATGAGTCTTAAAGGGCGGTCAGCATCCCTTTGGCCGAGCAGCCATCGCGTTGGATCCGCAGGCGCGGTCACTGGCGGAGTGTTTGCGGGGCAAGCTGCTTACCGACCTCGAGCCAGGGCGCTCAGAGACGGCATGGGATTTGTGTCTATTTGGGTTTGTCATTTAGGATTTGGACCCCTCAAAATCTCAGTTTGCCTTTTGGGTTCCCTTAAAAACCCACCCCAAAGGTACCCTCCCTCCCACGAACATGGCACCTGACAGGGGGTCACTTCAAAAGGAAACTCATCTTCCAAGTACCTCCCCACAGGTGCCATCTTAGGAAGGGTGCCCTAAAATTTGGAGGGACACCCATTTAGAAAGATGGCTCGATTTCACTCACCGGATTCGGATCCGATGTTTTCTCTTCAGGTGTGGTAGCAACGGCTTGGGGGAGCAAGCCTGCTGCCAGCTCGCGGAAGCTCTTGGCAGTTGCCCGGCACTTAGCGCTGTTCGGGTCAGAGTCCTTGCTGGTGCTCAGTAGGGAATGCAAGTTCCGGGTCTTGGGAATGTTCCTAGGGATTCCGTTAAAGGAAACATAGGGGATGGCTTATAGGCGTCATTCCATGTCTCATTCCCTGCGAACCAGCAAGCTTATCAGGTCCCAGTTCTGCCTTCCTCTGTCTTTTTCTTGGCGAACCCCGAGCCGTCCGCTTCCTGCGTAGGTTTCAGTCGTTTTTGGTTGGTTTAGTGGGGGGCTCCCACGCAACCCACTAGAAGGTAAACCTTCAGCCGGATATCTGAGGACAGCACAGTTTTGTTTCCTAGGGTCGGGACCCACGGAAACTGGGATCAAGCCCAAGAAGGGTTCCAACTCTCCAGCCAGAGCCACATGTTGCCATCTTGCTTGAGGTGAGCCAACTTTGCGGCGCTTGGCGATGCCGCAGACAGGCGCCTCATCTCCCCAAACCCTCCAGGAATTGGAACACGCATGTCCCGGAGGTCCTGAGATTGGGAAAGTCTGCGTGCGTTTACATGGAAACCAGGGGCGCTCAGAAAGGGACAGGGCAAACTTGGGTTGGCCAAGGGGACTAGTGG